GTGACGAACAAATGAAAGTAAGAGAGGACAATAAATCCCTAAATCACATATTCACGGTTGAGGACAATATTGAAAGCAAAAATTCAGGAAAACGCTCGCAAAAAGACAGAAATAATCAGAAAAAACATAAAAATGAATTATGAAACAATCTCAGTACAACAATGAAATAAATTACAAATAAGAAATTTTTAGAAAAGCCTGCAAACAAAAACGGACCAAAAAAGCAACGCTACAAGAAATACTAAAAATTCAACAAAAAATTCCACTGGAGAACTAAATATGTAAAAGTATACTTCAGGGTTTTGATCATATATCTAAAAGGTTAGGACGGAAAAGCAAGAAATTTGAAAATAAAAATCCATAGGTAGGACAAAAATCTAAAAGTACAATTTTAAGATCTAATTGACTTCAAAAAAGTTGAAAAAAAAATCGTAAATGACAACAAAGTTAAAGATTTTACCTTGTGTATCTTGCTACTCAGCACTGTCCATCGACATCAAAGTGCAGGTGGAGGAAGACAATGTGCTGCTGCCTGCTAATATCTGGGGCGAAGAAAGAGAGGAGGAAAAAGAGGGTGCAAAATATGTAAAAATGGAGAGGAGAGTTGGGAGGGAGGAGAATAATCAGGGCGAGTTGCTGGAGAGAAGCAGGGCTGGGCTGCTGGAGATGAATGAAGGGTAGGTTTTAGATTTTTTTTTTCTTTTTATATGTAATTTTTTTTTAAAAAACCCCTAAAATCTATAGGGGCACGTACCCCTGTAGGCCCTGTGTAAGTTCGCCCCTGAAAAAATATATGGTTGAAAATGAGTTTTGAAATAATGTATGTCAAATATGGGCTAAATGAGGTCCCCGACTTTTCTAGATTAATATTTTTGTTCAGATTTCATTTCATATACTACCAGTACACGTGGTAGAGGGCGGAGCCAAGAGGGGCAAAAAAAAAGATCAATTGGGCTGCTACACGAGGAAAAAAATGGACAACTTACAAAAATACCCTTAAATTTTGAGGTCTTTT